CCAGCTCCAGTGGAGGGTGCTTGGTCCCTACGTCCCGAGGGGAGACCCCCTCTCCCACACCTTCCTATGGACAGCAGTCCACAGCCACTCTCACTCCCTCACCTCCTGACCCTCCCCAGCCCCTCACTGACATTCCCCATCTCCACCAGATGCCCAGGTAGGGAGGCGCACAGTACCTCGCACATCACAGGCCCTCAGTACATATCTGTTCAGTGGATGGATGGGTGGGTGGATGGATGGATAGATGAATGGATGGTTGGATGGATGGATGTTGGATGGATGGATGTTGGATGGATGGATGGATGGATGGATTGTTGGATGGATGGTTGGATGGATGAATGGATGGATGGATGGTTGGATGGTTGGATGGATGGATGGATGGAGAGATGGATAGATGGATAGATGGATGGTTGGATGGATGGATGGTTGGATGGATGGAGAGATGGATAGATGGATGGTTGGATGGATGGATGGTTGGATGAATGGATCTGGGGTGCAGGGTCTTGTGGCTGTATGAGGGTAGAAGTGTGATTTGGGGAGAAAGCTGGAGGCTAACAAGGTCTCTCAGTCCTTTCAGATTGTTTCTCCATTGGAATGAGTTTGCCAGCTCCCGAAGCATTTCAAAGACATGGCTTTCCTCACCGTCCACTAGTTCGGGAGCCTGGTTGGGGCTGGCTGTGTCTTGGTCATCCAAGTTTTAGGCTGCATGTCTAACACAGTGCCTGGCACATAGTAGGCACTTACTGTTTGTTGGCTGAACAAGCGGTAAGGCCTTATGTCATTGCAGGAGGGTGCCCCTTGAGCCAAGTTCCCCTCTCAGTGTGTCCCAGCCCGCTTTGAATAGCCACGAAGGGAGGCCTGCTGGCCTGGGGGCTGGCCCCCCAGCCTCCCATCACTTCAGCCCCAGCCCTGTCCCCAGCACAGCCAGCATTGCCCCAGGTGAGTCTGTAGAACCCTCACCTGTCCCCTCTGCCCCACACCCCCCTGAGCATGTTTACCTACCCCCCCAAACTCCTTTCCAGACCTGCTCTTACTCACCCCCTCCCCCATCTTCTAATGCTACAGAGAGAACTCGGCAGGTGCCTGGGGAGATGACTCCTCCACTTCAAGGGCCCCGCGCCCAAATTCGGAAGAAACCCAAGGCTGTTCCCTACAGGAGGGAGCACAGTCCTGGGGGTGAGTGGGCCATGGGCCTGGGGGATGGTGACAGGCAGTAGTGAAGATGGGCAGGACACCAAGGGTGAGCTCTGAAGGCTGGAGGTGGGGAGCAGGCAAACCCAAATCTTGGGCTGTTCGTTCACAGCCTTCTGGTGCCAGGGGGTGGGAAGGGAGAGACTGGCATCAGGGAAGCAGGACACTCTACTGAAACAGGCCTCTCCTCAGACTTGCCCCCACCACCCTTGCCGCCACCAGAGGAAGAGACAAGCTGGGCCTCAGGGCTGAGAGCAGCAGGCAGCATGTCCTCCTTGGAACGGGAGCACCGTGGGGAGAGAAGACTGGTGCAGGTGGGGCCCCCGGGAGCCCATCGGGGCCCCCTCCCAGATGGTAAGGAGCACGGGGCAGGCTGGAAGGCCACTGCTACAGAAGAAGGTGGGCTTTAGGACTGAAGGCCGATAGTGCAGTAGAGGCGGTGCCTTCGATGGGCTCATTTCAACCCAGCTCACCCCTCACTTTCAGTTGGGTTCATGCATTTGATCAACATCAAAGACGCTGGTCTCTCCTGCTGTCTCTGAACAAAATCCCCTGAGGTTCTCAAGTTGTATCCTTTCTCAGGACTGGAGCCTCAATGAGAGAACAGGGGATGGGTGTCTTGTCCTTCTTTTCCCAAAGAGGGAGTTCTTGCAGGTTTCCGAACACATACAGTGTCAAGGCCGTGAGCTGGGCACCCTGCTGCACAGTCCCAGGATGATCTGAGCCCTTGGTCTGCCCTCAGCTCTTCTTCCAGAGCTGGGATGGTGGTCGGGGTGGCACAGTGGGCCAGCCGTGGTGTTCTGTCCCCTGCCTGGGCCGAGCTACCCTTATCTCTTGTGCTGCAGAAGAGGCCTGGCTCCCTTATAGCCGACCTGGCTTCCTGTCCCGGGGCCAGGCCCCCAGCACCTGTTCCACCGCGGGCAGCAACTCCTCCAGAGGCTCCAGCAGCTCTCGGGGCTCCCGGGGCCCTGGCCGGAGCCGCAGCCGCAGCCGCAGGCCAGGACGGAAATGCCGAGAGGTGGGGGCCAGGGATAGAAAACCTCTGGTTGGAGGACTAGGGAGGGTGGGCTGAGGGATGACTGGAAAGGAGGGGGCCCAGTGTGTGAGGGGCAGGAAGAATCCTGGAGAACAGTGACAAAGGGTGAAGGCAAGGTGACTGGGCTCCCACAGAAGAGAGGCACAGCCCCTCCCGCGGCATGTTTGCACTGGGCCAGGCCTTGCCAACCAGCCTCTCTGCCTGTCTGTCTCTCTGCCTGGCTCTGTGTGTTTCTCTCTCCCTGTCCCCTTCTCTCTCTGTCCCTCCCTCCCCCAGGAACCAAGATAACCCTTGATGAGAATATCAGCAGTCCCATGGGGGAAAGGCTTGTCCCTGGACCAGGAGCTGGATGGGAGCCCCTCCCCTGCTAAATGAGGGGGTGCAAAGAGGACCAGGGAAGAGTCTCTTCCCTCCCAGCAGAGATGGTGGTGCGGCTCCCCAAGGAATTGGCTTAGAAGCCAAAGAGACAGCTCTTCCGTTTCTATCTCTTCCTACCTGAGACCCATTTGTAAAAAAGGCAATAAAGAGTCTGATCGGAGTCCTGGGCCATCTGTGTGGTTTTGTGCCGGGTGTGGGGAAGGAGGGGGCTGTGAGGGGGTGTGTATCATTGTACTTGCTTTTGAACTTCTCTGTTAAAACTCTAGGTGAGGACAGGACCCAACCTGTCCCACCTCCTAAAGGAGCTGAAGTCACTGTCCCCCAGTTACAACCAGAGGGCCTTTCCAAATAACCAACCACGAGAAACTTGTCCTGTCCTGAACTAAGCCAGGCCCTCCCTTGTGCCTCCTCTGGGGTGCATCTTCTCTTTTGCAAGGAAATATGCCCTCGTGATAATACTTTATAAAACTCAAAGAAAGAAGGAGCTGATGGGGAAAACCCTGGTCAAGAAGGAAAAACAGGCTTTTCAAACCCCTGGCACACAGGGTGTGTGCAAATAGGCACCTCCTGGTCAGATTAGGACCAGATGTGATGGTTTGGCTGGCACAGAATTAAAAAAATGTTGGCCTTGAATGCCATAGTCCCGATCACCCCTCACCCACACCCTCACCCACACCCTCGCTGGCGAGCTGAGGTCTGTTTCCTTTTTGTTTGCTGGGCCCCTGGCTCAGGACCTCCCTGGGCTCTCAGGGCATTGCACTGCCCTCCCGGGCCAGGGCCGCTCCTGCCAGTTTGACCTGCCACATCCCTTTTTCTCCTTTGGTCTAGCACACAGGTTTGGAATATTTTTAAAAGGAATTTTACCAGGAAGCTAAAAAGAAAGCAAATTCCAGAAAAGGAGAAGCAATAAGAGAGGAAGAGTGTGTACCGGCAGCACTGGTCCCGCTTCCTGGGTCACAGCCCTCCGGCCCGGACTGGCCGGGTCAGGGTAGTCCAGGAGCACCGGCCTCAGGCCCGCCTTGCTCCGGAGCAGGGTGGTCTCTGGTAGCGCTTCTGGAGCTCCGGGGATTGTCACCTCCTTTCAGGAACCTCTCCAATCCCCCCTCCCTGAAGGTGTCTTCCTGTGGCCCTGCTCATGTCCAGCACATGCCCCCAACTTGAGGATTCTGCCCCTGACCGTTCCTGCCGAGTGAGGAAGATCCCGTCACCTGCTCCCGGCAGCTTTCTGTGGCTTAGGCCGGCAGCCGGCTCCAGCGCGCCTCCCTCTGCCCTGCTGATGGAAGGTGGCGCTGGCCAACCACGACAGGTGGTTCCGCCTTTTGTGGAAGGAGCTGCTTTGTCTTTTCTAGGAAACCATCTGGGACCGGTCTTTGGGGGAGGGGCGGGGGCTGCTGAAAGCAGTTGTCTTCTCGGGAAAAGTTGCTAAGACCAGCCCTTCCTTTCCCAGGATCTGCTTAGAATGTGATGGACGAACGTAATTCTCCCCTTATTTGCGGAACCTACGGGACATTCCCACGCGCTTGCTCCCTTTCTAGCTCCGGGGATTCTTCCTGTATCTCCAGGTGCCCTTCCCCCACGAAAGAGCTCCCAGAACTCAGCATTGCCATTCGTAGTGTTAATTCCGCAAGCTCATGGCGACCGCAGTGCCAGGAGGGTGTTTGTCCCGCCTCCCACACCTCCCTCCCTGGAGCTCCCTCCCGGCTCCATCTGGAGCTGGGTGCTCGGTTGGGCCTCAGGGGCCTGCTCGGGATCTCCTTTACATGGTCGGCTGCGAGTTGAGCGGCCTCCATGGAACAGCAGTCCAGCGAGGCTGGGGGGAGGCTGGAGGAGCCCCTTCCAACATGGCCCACCCCCACAAGCTGCCGCTGTCCCCCAGAAAGACCCCTGGCTCCCCCACTTCTCATGATCCTCTGGGTGGGAGGTCAGGAGATGGGCTGCTACTTAAGCCAACAGGTTGTGGGGCTGGGCAGAGCAGAGGAAAAGCAAGGGCGAACGGTGGAGATCCCCGGTCCCAAGGCTCCCGGTCGGCTTGGCTCTGAGTCTGTTTAATTCGTTTGCACGGTCAAGGGGAGATAGCGCCCCCGGAGGCCGGCCGGCAGGTGGACCCAGCCGCGGAGACGCGCATCAAGCTCCACAGTCCAGTGCCCAGCCTCCCCCGAGGGCCGTGGCTGACAGGAGGGGGCGTCCGAGCCTCTTCTTGGGGCCTCAGGGACATCCTCAGGAGGAGCCTGTAGGAGAATTGGAGGAGAGTGGCGCTATCCCCTGCTCCTTGTCCCTCCTGCCAGACTCCAGGCTCCCTCATGGCCCCTCCCCAGAACCACACAAGCCAGGCGGATGGACACTTACTGCCAGCTGCGGGGACGGGACAGCTGAGATGACGTCTCTGGGGGCAGGTCTAGGAGTGGGGGGGCCAGGGGGGCCGTCCCCTTCCCAGTTGCTGGCTGTGGACGTTCTCCATGTCCTCTAGCCAGTCTGACCTCCACTCCCACAGGGGCAGGGAGAGGGTGGGGGGCAGGAAGAGGTCGTCCCGGGGGGAGGGAGGCGATGAGGCACCTGTGTGTGGGGGGGTAGAGATATTTATGAAGGGTCAGCCTTCACCCCTGGGAAATAGCTTAGGGCAGAAAACTTGGGGCCAGTTTAAGGCATACACCCAACCTTAAACATAATCTAGCCCCAGTTTGGCCCCTCAGTCCCAGGGCCACCAGCTCCAGCCCCAGGGACAGGAAGACAGTCCACTAGTTTCTTTAGAGGGACTATCTCGACCTGGCCTTTTGCCCATACTCTCCTGCTCCCTGGCACGCTCTTCTCCCCCCGTGGGAACTCTGCCCTGGGTAATCCTTGCTCTCTCATGCACCACAAACCTGGTTGTTGCTTGGGGGCCTAGGATAGAGTTAGGGTTCATAAGATGGGTAGAGGGCATCTGCTAGAGCAGATGGGGCGAGGAACACCAAAGGGGCACCGGAGCCCTGACTGCCCCTGTTGGCACGGAGGTCATGGCTCCACTCTACTGGACACGTGGAGCCCAGCTGCCCCTCCCCACAGCCTCAGACAAGGCCAGAAGAAGGACCCGGGAGCACAGCAGAGGGAAGAGAGAAAACAGAACTTCCCACAGTGAGGAGGAGTCTGGAACACTGGGCTAGAGGAAATGACAGAGGCTGGGGGCCACCTTTCCGGAGACCCACGCTGGGTGAGCGGGGCATCCCGGAGGTAAGGGGATGGATGGCAACTGGCTGCCTCCAGGCTCCAGACTTGAACAGTCTGTCCTTGTTCTCATGGGCGACCTTGGGCAAGCTAATAAACCTGTTTGACTTCCAATTTCCTCATTTGGAAAAGAATAAAGAGCATTCCTCATAGAAGCCTTATTATTGAATGTATGCAAAGTACTTATCATAAAGCCTGGGGTGTAGTAGTCATTTAATAAAATCTAGCTGTCTCAAGGACAACGCAAGGAAGACCACGATTAGGAAGCTTTGCCTCTCTCTGGGAAGAAGGGGGTCTTACAGGCGCTGTGTCCACTCCGAAGGGCGAGGGTGACCGAATGTACCTGTGAAGACGCAGTCTGCTTCCCTGGGCTCCAGGCCAAAGCCAAGGCTGTCCACGGCCACGGCCAGGGCCCGAGCGAAGTGGGCATCCGCAAGGAAGGAGCCGTCGGAGGAGCTGACGAGGCTGGCTCTGGCACTGGGGGCATTGTCCTCAGAGGCTGAGCCCCAGCCATTGGCCAAGGAGCCCTCGCTGGGGGTGGGGGTGAGGCAGGGCCGAGGTGGGCACAACAAACTCCCCACCTCCGACCCCACCCCTCCCCCAGCTCTGCCCATGTCTGCTAGCTCCGCAGCTGTCGGAACGCTGATGTACCCATAGGTGCTGGGGGGTGAAGGAGCCCTTGGCATAGGAGAGACACCATTCCTAGGCAGAGGCAAAGTGGGAGACCGGGTGATGGTTGAGGCGGGTGAGGTGGAAACATTCCATTTGAGGAAGGGGGACGAGGGAGGGACAAGCACACCCTAATTCTTCCGTTTTCACTCAGGCTACTCACCTGGGGGTCTCCTCACCCTCACTGAGCTCCAGGCACAGGGCTACCTCCTCAGGAGTCAGCACACTGTCCTGATCCTCCCCCAGGGATGACAGTGAAGAGCTGGACAGGCGACTGGAGGTTGGGCTGAGACCAGAGAGGGAGGAGGCCTGGCGGCTAGAGCGGCTGGAGCAGCTGGAGCGGCTGGAGGGGCTGGAGGGGCTGGAGGGGATGAAAGTGGGAATGGGGGCTGCTGACAGTGGGAGGGAGGAGGGAGCTTGGGGCTCCACCAGCTTCCTGATTGGGGCGAGACAGAGATGGCAGGCTGGTTAGTGCGCTTCACCCAGCCCTGTTCACTGATGGCCAGCCCTGCCCAAGCTCAGCTAACACCCCTCACCCCACCCCAACCCTGCTTTTGAACCCCATGCCCTCTTACTGGGTCTGTTGATTCTGAGTGGGGGGTTCATTGGAGGAGAGGGGTGCTGGCGGGACAGGGCAAGTCGGCTCACTGGAGGAGCTGAGGAACTGCGGCCCCAGGGCCCGCCAGGCCACCAGAGCTCGGGGCACAGCTCCTGGGGAACAAGAGCCTGGGCATGAGAATGGCAGGACCCCCATCAGCTCAGACCCAGCCTGCCCCCTTCTCTCCCCTCCCCTCAGCTTCCTGTCCCGATACCCCAGCCATCCAACCTCAAGGACAGGTGAAGCCAGCTGCAGGGCCTGGTGGGCCCCTGCACCTCACCGCCTCACTATCTCTCACCTGGGCTTTGGGAAAGGTTCTTGGAGCCTTTACTCCCCAACTCCCAGGCCCAGAGCTCCATGGGGTGGCTGGTCCGGAGCAGTGGGGAGCTGTTGGCCTGGTGCAGCTCTGCAAAGGAAGAGTCAGCAGTTGAGGGACAAGCCTGGGTGCCCTCCAGACCCCAACCACAGGCTCCAGCTTCAGCCTTGTCGTTCAATTACACTTTGGGGCCCCTGAATGCAGAGAAACGAGGAACAAAACTCCCTCCGTCTTCTCCTCCCTTTTCCCACCTCCAGCCAGGCAGCTGTGACGGGGTGGAAGGAGCAAGCACTAGGCTTGGAGTCCACAAATGGGCCCTCACAGCCCAGCCCAGCCACGCGGTAGCTGTGTGAACTCAGGTAAACCCATTAACCTTTCTGAGCCTCAGTTTCATTTGCAAACACTCACTTTGGGTGACGGTATTTCCAATGACATAACAATAGATTGGAAAGCTCCTGGCACCTAGTAGCTTTCTTGTCCTTTACTGTTTACATTCCCATCTCCTTGAGCTCTACATCATCACGTGGTTTCTCTTCTCAGTAATTTTCGCTCTGTGGAGACATATGCTCCTTCTTTCCTTGGAAAGAAGCTATTACTGTCCATTTTTCACACTATGAAAATCTCACCTGGTTCTGGCTAGCCCTGCCCTGAGAAAGCTGAGTGTCTCTCGCCTGGGGAGGTAGCTTGGACTGTCCAGTTGTGCTGAATGGGTAAGACGGAAACAAGTAACCCAAGACCAGGCAAGGTGCCACAGGAAGAGGAGCTTTAGAGTAGGGAGATGTGTGGTCTCACCCAGAGAGGCAGTCCCCTGCCCAAAGATAGTCAGTATTTGTTGACTAAGTCAGTGCATGATGGTGCCATTAGAGACGCAGATGCAATCACGTACACAGGAGATTCGCAACAGGTGAATCACATACAGGATGGCAGCGGTAGCACTTAGAGACAAGGCTGAGTGAACTCTGACAATGGAGAAGCTGAGGTAACTGAAAGAATAGACCCAGCACACACAATGCTTCCTGGTCCGGCCCAAACCCAAATGGACCTTAGTTTAAACCAGAGAGGAACTGGGTAACAGAAATAGAAAAGAATAGATTTTCCCCAAGACCAGGCACCAGTGCAAAGGAGGAAAGAAACAGCCTTCAGATTAGTGTCCCATGATCAGAAGCCCAGACCAAAGACCAGGCAGGACCCTGGAGGCAGCACTGACTAGTCTGTCTGATCTCAAAGACCTGGGGGCCACCATGGGCAGATCAGAGCGGGGATGAGACTAAGACCCCATCTGGGCCCTGAGAATCCAGGTGCAGTGGTCAGATTTTCTGAGCCACTGGGATGAAAACCCACACAGTGGCTGAACTTCACCCATCAAAGTTTGCTTTTGTACTTGGGCTGGTTTTTACGCATTTCCTTTAGTTGTCATATGACCAGGAAGGCCAACTGCAGGTGCTTCTACTCTGCTATCATCAGCTTTATCTTATCTAGTGCCTGGCTTCTTTTTTTTTTTTTTTAAGTTTTGGAATTAATATCCAATTTTTTTTTTTTTTTATTTAATCCTCACCTGAGGACATTTTTCCATTTTTTTGTTCAGATACAGTGGGAGGGAGAGAGAGGAAGAGAGAGAGAGACAGAAACATCGATGTGAAAGGAACACATCGAGTGGCTGCCACCCACACGACCATCCAGGGCCGGGGATAAACTGCAACCGAGGTATATGCCCTTAGCGGGAACCGAACCCGGGTCTCTCTGTACCGCATAGTGCCTGGCTTCTTAACTAAGCTCAGAAGTGGGGACACATGTTGGTTGGTTGATTGGTTCTATGGAAAGAGCCATACCTGTCCCAGCCCTTTTCATTTCTTCTAAAGGATTCTGGTACCAATACGCCTCCACCCACCTTGCTTGGAGATACTTGGATGTTAGTTTCAATGTTATTTGAATACACTATACAATAAAAATGTTAGGCCAAATCTCATTGGCCTCACCCAAACTGCAATAAATATTTGTCTGAATTAATGAGACTATGCAGTGTATGTTATCTGGCAAAGTAGGTGGAACTAAGAACCTGATATAATGGATGAGACACAGGAAAGTGCAGTTGTGCTAATGTCAATCATGGAGAAAAACCCCAACTAAGGTCAAATAATAAGAAAAAGGAATAAGAAGGCGAAGGGGAACAGGGGCCCCGAGAGAGCCTGCCAGTTTTAGAAAATGAAGAATCATCAATCCTGGGCTAGGGGACAGCAGCAGAGCCAACGCTGTGACTCTCTACAAAACCAGAGCATGATATTGCCGTCACTGCTGCGGCCCTGGGAGCTGGAGGCAGGCCACCTCCACAGTCCACAGGGGTCACTGTGGTCAACCTGTCCTGGGGCAGAGGTGGGGTGGGGCTGGGATGAGGAGAGACACCGGTGAAGTGAGGATCTAAACCTCTGCGGGAGGTTAGGAAGCTTCATCTCAGAACTGGACGCTTTCTTAAAAATTGACTGCAGAAAACTGCTCACCCTTTTCCAGTAGTATTAATGTTCTAAGAGGGGCTGGATGCCATATTCAAGGCCATGTCACAGACCAGGGGAAAGCTGGTTTTTAAATGAGATTTATGCAACCTCTTTTGAGTTGGTATTTTATCACCACTGAGAGTTTCTAATGCAATAACTTGGAGGCAAAGCTGGAAAAAATGCTAGTTTCACCAATATTCAGAGTCATAAAACTTTGGATATTGGACGAGCTCTTAATTACTCTGAATCTATATTTATCTTAATAAAAATTCGACTATAAACTTCAAAAAAATTGGCTGTTGAGTATTTGTAAATCTTACTAATCAGTGCAGAAGGCTCATGAACACAGCAGAGTGCGGGCCACTGTTCAGAGATGGGAGAGAGTCCGCGAGAGGATGGGATTTCCCAAGGACGCTCCCAGAGAGATTCAAAGCAGCCTTTGGGAGCAGCCCACTCTGACCTCAGATTTGAGTTCTGCAGCTTACTGACGTGGGATTTTGAACAAGTTACCCAATTCTGCTCCTCTTTCCCTATCTGTAAAATTAGAGAAATAATACCAGGTCAACAGGTTGTGAGAATGAAATAATATAAGTGAAGCACCTAACATAGTGGTTGCTAAAGAAACAGACTGGCCAGGCAGGACTCCCAGCTGGCTTCCCAGGGAAGGAGTATTTCCTTTCTGCCAAACTCTCCTGACTTCCAGCAACTTGCTGTGACTTTCCAGAGAGAAGTAATTATTTTTGAGTTGACTGCAGAAGCAGGGCTGATGACTGGTGTGGCCAAACCGAAACATGGATACCGTGTAAAGAAAAGCCGAGGCCAGCACACCCCTAGCTGAGTGCTTTGGCGGTGGGTATCCGCCAGGACAGGAGAATCAAGGCTGTGGGTGGGGTGCTCCCCACACCCATCTTCAAGGCTCCGGGCCACATTGCCACCACATCCCCACTCCTGGTCCCCCCTCCCTCCTGCTGCAGACTGGGTTGTCCTCCCGACCCTTACCCTGCTTCTTCCTGGCCTTCCAAGCCTCTGCGGGGGCCACCGAAAAGCGTGGGGAAGAGAGCCCCCTGCGGCTGCAGAGGCTGTCTGAACTGGGCCAGGGGCTGGAGAGCCGGGCCAGCTGGGATGGGAGATGCCTGACAGCTGGGGCCTGGGGGCTTGGCCGGGCCGGGGGGCTGGAAGGCAGCTCAGCGATGAGGGAGCCATAGAAAGTGCTGGTGTCGGGAAGCAGGGGCACACCAGGGCTGCGGGGATCCCAGGAGATCACTGCAATAAAAAAACAACAGGAGGAATTACGGTGAATTCATCCTGCCCCACATCTCCCTCCCCTAGCCCGCTGATCTCTGTTCCATTGCGAGGCCCTGGTCCCCACTGGGCATGCTCACGGGAGCGACGGCGGTCCAGTAGGTCCCGGGGCTCCACTCCCAGCCGGCTGCTAAGACTGCTACTGCTGCTGAGGTCCCGAGAGCCAGAGGTGGACCGCCAAGTGTCTGCCAGCCAGGGGGAGTCACTGTGATCCATCCTGTGGCAACGGGGAAGGGGAGAAGGGGCAGGAGAGATGGGGAATGAGAACCAGAGGGTAGCTGAAGTAGGTGAGGAGATGGTGGTATAGGCTTTATTCTGTCAACTTTTAAGCCTTCAGACTCCTTAAAATGCCTGATCGGATGCCTCAAACTCAGTGACCTTTCCTATCCTGGGATCAGAGGAAGTCCAAGTTGCCCAGAGCTAGGAGGTAGTAAAAAGACACAGCTGTGTGCTAAGATAAAAAGAACCTATATCTAGAGCCAAACAAACCCAGTTTGAAAATCCCCGCCAGCCAGCCACAGCCCAGCTGTGCACCCCTGGGAGGAAGAAGTCTGGCAGCCTCGCTAAGCCCCAGCTTCTCCATCTGTAAAAGTAACAACAGCTTCCATATGAGGCTGGTGCTGGAGCTGGAACCGGGAAGGGTGAGATCATGCGCTGGCAGAGCAGGAGCCGGCTGCGTGAATGCGTGAGTGCTGGCCTCTCTACCTCTAGTCGGCTTCCCTTTGGGGGTCGGGGGTGCTGGCTGCCCGAGTGATCTTCCAACGACAGATCAGACCAAAGCACTTCTCTGCCTGAAACCTTCAACGGCTCCCCATTTCCCGAGAGAGCCCAGCTGCCTAGCATGGCGAACAGGGCTCTTGTTGGTCTGGCTTCCAGCTCCCTAACCTTATGCTTTGCTCTGACCCATCTCACACTCTACGCTCTAGCCCAACTAAATGGCTTTTCTTTCCCTGTGAACACAGCGGCTATTTCTGGCTGCCCTCTTTGGCCTTCTCCTTCTTACTGTCAGGGTAAATGTAAAAGCTCCCTCCCCTACTCCCCACCCTAATCTCCGTGTGTACCTTGTGCCTGTTTCTGCATTGCCAGCTCTGGACTGCATCCACATGCCAGCATGGTCTGTCTAGACTGAGTTCCTGGCAGATGGAGACTGTTCTGAAGGAACGACTGCATCTCCCTCAAGGACAGGGATAAAGTCCCGGGGCGGGGGGCGCTATGAGGGGGCAGAGAAAGTTCAGGGCAGAGCAGTCAAAGCCCAGGCGGTAACTAGAGAGAAAGGCCAGTGAGCACAGAAGATGCAGGAACCCGGCACCCGCTTGGAACCTTGCTCCGAGCGGGGACATTGACAGCAGAGTGGTCTGGCTGGATGTGTCTGGCACACAGTAGGTGTTCGATAAACTTCTGTTGAAAGATGCAGACCTGGGATGTGAAACCTCCCAGAGGAAATCTAATGAGATAAAGAGCAGGAGCATGTGGACAGATAAAATGGTTACTTAGTGTAAAACTCAGCCAGTAGGATTAAGAATAATGCTTTCGCCCTGGCCGGTTTGGCTCAGCGGTTAGAGCGTCGGCCTGTGGTCCGGAGAGATCCGGGTTCGGTTCCCGCTAAGGGCACGTACTTCGGTTGCAGTTTGTCCCAGGCCCTGGTTGGTCGTGCGGGTGGCAGCCACTCGATGTGTCCCTTCACGTCGATGTTTCTCTCTCTCTCTCTCTCTCTCCCTTCCTCTCTCTCCCACTCTAGCTGTACAAAAAATGGAAAAATATCCTCGGGTGAGGATAAAAAAAAAAAAAAGAATAATGCTTTCTTTCCTAGTATCGTGTCTCAGAGCCGCAGACTTGCTCTGGCAGCCAAAACACACTCCGAGCGGAGGTACCTGCGACCGCCCAGTCACTGAGAACATCGAGTCTGTGATGTAGAGGCAGAGCGCCCTCTGCTGGCACTGTGGGTGAATTATTGTGAAGGAAAGGGCTCAGCAGGCTGAGTGATTTACTGAAAGCCAAGGCACTGCAAGGTGGACACCAAGTGTACAGAGAAAATGAGAAATTGGGCTGGTCCTCCCGTGCTAGCTATTGTCCACCCAGGAGAATGAGTCAGCAGGAAAGAGTAGTCAGTGTTATTAGTGAGAGGTTGGTGACAGAGCACAGGATAAGGAATTCCGAAGGCCGGCTGTGTTGCCTTGGGCAAAGTCACTTAAGTTTGTGATCCTCAGTTTACTCTCTGTCACCATTATTGAAAGAGAAAATGATTCTCACTTGGAGTTGAGGAGAGACACAGGTACCAGGATTCCACACCGCCTGGAGTCGGGAAGACGCCTCCCAATTCACTGTCCCAGCCCCACTAACGCTTGGTGCCCCGACCCCCTCACCTCAGGCCACGCCCCTTTCATTTCTCACCTGTGTTTGAGGATGGCGTCCTCACTGGTATATCTGTACAGACCTGAGAGAGGGCAGGAAGCAGGCTGAATCTAGAGCCCCCAGCATCAGGCTAGAGATCTAACCCCATAGTGTTCTCACTGGGCCCAGGGAGTCCTGACCACCTGAGTCCACTTCATTCTCTCACCTGGGCCAAGGTGCATCCCAGCTCGGCGCCGGCGGTGGACACACACAGTGGCGCCCAGCAGCAGCAGCCAGAGCACGACAGCCCCGGTGGCAATGATCTCTGGACGCCTCAAAGTGGCTCTCAGCTGCTCCAGGGTCCACGGACCATGGTCACTGTGTTCTCGGGTTGCTCGCTCCATGGTCTGCTCTGTATAGGATTTGGAGCTCAGGGGTCGGGGGGCAGGTGAGGCAACAAGGGTCGAATGGAGAACAGGGAGGAGCTGGAAGTGTGAGGTGGGAACAGGGAGAGAGGAAGGTGGGAATAGGGGCTGAGGGATATGGGTGAGACCAGTGGATTCCGTCCTCACCTAAAATGAGGCAGACAGGGCTACTGGGCTCCCCAGCCCCTGCACCGGTGACTGCAGCCACTTGTACACAGTAGGAACCTGGCGTTTGGGTGGCAATCTCCAGCTGGGTCTGCTCGCCTACCACTGTCCAGTTGGTTGGGGACAATGAGCTGTTGCCCAGGCTCCATACCTGAGGACAAGCAGGGGTGAGCAGCACCCCGGGGCACCTTCCCAGCTGCTGAGCCCTTCATCTGCAGATCAGACTCTGGTCCTCTGGTCATCCTGCCCTGGGATTGCCAGGGGACACTCCCCCCGCGTGCACCCATATTTCTAGTCCTGTCCTGTGCCCTACATTCCTGACCTCAGCCTCACTTTCCACATCTGTAAATTGGGGATAAGAACCCAGGTGGACTGTGAGATGAAATGAGATCAAGAAGGTAACTGCTTGGCAAGGTCTGGCAGACACTGGCTTAGCACCAGTAAGTGCCCCTTGCTCTTGGCACAGGTACATTTCTCAGTGCCCAGAGCGCCACTAGGAAGGGGTGTGTCAGCTTGCGCGAGTACCTGGTAGCCACGGATGACGCCATTGTGGTTTTCAGCAGGTGGTGGGACCCAGTTCACAAGGACACTGCCATTGCCAGGTTTTATGGTGACCTCCTGAGGAGGGGCACTGGGCACTGGGGGAGGGAGAGAGGCTCTAAGGAGTGCTGAGGGAGCCGACTGCAGGGCAAGAGCTGGGGTGGGACACAGGGTCAGAGGTCACACTGAGGAGAATGAGAGTCTGCTTGCCTGACCAGGGTGGAAGGGAGTAGGACCCACCATCCCCCCAGACTGCAGTGGGACAGTCCTCCAGGGCCCCCCAGCAAGAAGGGATGGAGGGTCTACTGTTGAGTTCTGGGGGCACCGGTCCCTGACCTTGCTCAGGCAGCCGCAGGAGCAGCACGTTGCTGTCAGGGCCTCGAGCCCGGCCGGAGGATGGTCTCACTTTGAACTCGTAGTCTTGGCCCCAGTGGAGGCCTCCAAGCTCTGCGCTCTGCCAGCCAGACAGCAGGGCCTCTGCCCACGGAGCTCCCTGGCCTCCGGGCACCGTCTGGGTCCTGAACAGCGCCGTGTAGGACTGAGCGGGGGCAGCAGGGCCGCTTACCTGGACAGTCAGGAGAAAGGCGAATTCTCATGACCAGTCCTTTCTTGAGCCCTGGACTGGCTCACCACTGGGTCCTGGGCCTCACCTTCCAACTGAGCCACACAGCGGGCCCGGGCTTGGGGCCCTTGGCGGGATCCGGTTTCAGCAGGGTCACATTTTCCAGCTGAATGCGCACAGCCAGCAGCTCCAGAGGCTCCTTGTAGTCCCGACGCTCTGGGGAGAATAGGGCTGGGACGGGCTCTCCAGGCCAGAGTGAAGGGATTGAGGAGCAGAGCATCCCTTCGCCTCGAGAACCCCAAACTCCCAGCTTTCTCAGGACTAGGACACTCCTATTTCCACTTCAGGATAAGAAAACTCCCCTAAAATGGGGTCCCCACCACTCTGCCGCCGATCCCCACATACCCTAACCTCAGCCAAAACCAGACCACACAGGCCTAACTGGAGCCCCCCACGTTGGCCCTGGCTTTAGTCACCCTCCCTTACCCTGGACAGACACCCTGGCTGCCCGGCTCTCCCGTTGTCCTGCACTGTTGTTGGCCACACACATATAGGTCCCTGCGTCGCTCTTCTCTGCTTTGCCCACCAGCAAGGAGCCCCTGGACACCTGTCGGGGCAGGTGCATTGTGGAGCCTCCCATGTGGGGAGGGGCTCGGACTGGGGAGGGAAGCTGAGGGCCTCACTGCCTCCCTTTCCTGAGTTCTGCAGGGCACTGGAGGCTGGAAGGTGGGTCAGGCCCTCAGGGTATGCCCAGCAGCGCCCAGGACAGGATGAAGTGCGGGGAAGGGAGCTACACTCACCATGTGCCGCCCTGGCTGGAGGGCCAGGGGTTTCCCATCCTTCCACCAGGAGACTGTGGGCTCTGGGTGGCCCCAGGGCGGCCCGCACTCCAGGACCACCTGTTCGCCCACCGTGGCCACTGTGTCCTGAGGCTGGAGCTGGAAATCCTTCTGAAGGACTGCGGGGAGGATGGAGGCTCTGCAGGGAGGCTCCCCTTGGTGTCTCCGACCACACCTGCCCCATTCTGCTTTTCCATGGACTGTCCCCTCGTCAGAGCCCCACCTCCCAGGTGTTCCATCCAGGTTCACGCCAACTCAGCTCTCTCCTCCTGTTTCCCCGGCCTGAGCCTCCCCTCACAGATAGCCCTTCAAACCGCCCTCGCCACCCAGGTGCGCCTCACCCCAGGCCCCTCCCGGCCTCACCAGCCACAGACAGCCGAGCACTGCGGCTCACGGCCGTGCCCAGCTTGTTGCTGGCCTCACATGTGTAGACGCCCAGGTCTGTGGGTGGGGCCTGGTCGTCATGGGCACGTCCCCGGGCAGGGGGCCGCAGCAGCAGCAGGGTTCCATCAGGTAGGAGGTGGTGTACGTCTGGGGGCACCATGCTCAGGGGCTGCCCATTCAGCAGCCAGCGGATGGTGGGAGGCGGCTGGCCTGAGGCTCGGCAGCTCATCTTGGCGGGGCCAGGGCCCTGGAGCAGCTGGTCCTGTGGGTGGACTAGGATCTGGGGTGCGAAGTCCTGAGCCATGCCTCCTGGGAGGAAAAGGGAGATAGAGCCCCATCTGACTACCAACAGCCCCCTCATCTGCCTTCTCTCATCTGGAGATCAATTCAAAGAGGAGAGGGCCTTTCAGACTCTCAATCTGTCTGTCTGTCTCTCTTTCTTACACACACACTCATCATCATCATCATCATCATCATCATCATCATCATCACCTCTTGTACCCCTACTGCAAAAGGGAGGCAAAGGAGCAAGGGTGCCTCTTCTTTCCCGGCCAGGCCTCGGGTCAAGGGAGCCTGGGCTAGGAGGGGGCGGCCACACTCACCGGCGCCGAGCAGAAGCAGGAGCGGCAGGGGCCACCGGACCCCAAGGAGGCCCGCTCCTCCGGAGCCCATGGCTGCTCTCAGGTCTGTTCTGGTCCCAAGCACTTTGTCCTGCTGCGCTGAGCTCACAGCGAGGGAAGGAGGGGCGGGCGGGCTGGTGGTGGTTGTTTGTGGCTGAGACTGCCCCAGAGGGAAGCAGCTTTGAGGAAACCGATGCTTCCTGCCTGGCCCTCGGTGCCTTGAAGAACTGGGAGGAGCCCAGAGGAGAGAAACTCTCTGACCTTGTCCCTCTAGCCACACCCCTGACTCGAACCCAGCCCTAAGGTTTACCTTGTGATAGACTGGGATTTCTTAAAGGTAATCCTCATACTAACCACAGCTCTAAGCACAGCCTTGATCCTTTAACCCCAAGCCTGTATTAAACCTTGAATCCCCATCCTTATTCTTTTGCTTCCAAGTGACCCTCACTAGAATGGAACAGAAACCCAGAGGGGAGATCTCAGGCTGAGGAAGTTCAATGGTTAGGGCAGTCACTCCTTGGTCTGTTCTCCAAAGACAGAAGGGGCGGCGGGGGGCGGGGGGAGGACAGAAAATAGGAAGAATCCAGAGGCTCTGGAACAAGCTGGAGATGCCCACCATGTGTTCCTATTCAGCCACAGAGACACATGAAATAAGCTCTGGGAGACCGTGGGCACGTTCCTTAATCCCTGCAAGGCGCTTATCTGTAAGTGGGAAAGGTAATAGTACTGTGTACCTTGGCAGCTGGAGCAAGAATGAGATGAGCTAAAACATAAAGCACTTAGTACAGTAACCTAAGGCCCTACGTATACGTGATTAGTAAGTTTAACCAACATTGTTATTTTTATGCACATCCTGTCACTGAAACTACTCAAGCATCTTTGGCAGGGATACTTGTCAGGCCCTGGAATGCTGGTTTGAGTCTGGTCTTGAAGTCTTTCCAGCCCTGTCTGCTGTGGACTGGCCTGCGTCTTCCAAGCCTCCAATGTCAGGACTCACACCGTTGCTCCCCAACCCCCTCCCTAGAGAGGCTGCCCTTTCCTCTGAGCCCACCTCCTGTTTACAGGTCTCTTCCTTCCAAATCTGGAATCTCAGCCATTTCCTGGAGCTGGTCCCGGAAAGCCAAGGCCCAGCTCTGGGGGCTCAGCGGAAGACTGTCCAGCCTTTGTTTCCAGCTGTTCTTGGCCAGCTCCTCTGTGGGGCCCCTAACCCAGCTGACTCCCTCCCTTCCTCCACCTTCCCAGCCTGGCCTCAGCACCAGCCACAGCCACAGCCACAGCCCTGACAGCCTAGCGAGCGGAGGAAAGGCCTCCTTCACAACCCCTTTTCCCCCTCAGTCGCAGACCAAGACTGATTAAGATCATCGGAGCAGGAGAACACCATGCTTTCTACAACCTGAGCACTTCCAAAGGGTGAAGAATAGACACAGAGAAAGTAGCAGAGACAGAGCTGGAGGGATAGGAATAGGGATCAGAGAATAGCTTGGTATTTCAGAAGCGGAGGTGCAGAGGGCATGTGTGCCAGGCAGAGTGGAGTAGAGTTTACAGGGTCAAGGATCTGTGGAGCCAGAGGGATCAAGCCGGTATCCGTACAGACACTGAAGTCAGCCAAGGGTGACACGAGAAAGAATGTGGTGAGACGGATGGATTTACTGCACACACTGCCAGCCTGAGATTTACCAAAGACAGAGCCCTTGGCTGCCTGACCCCGACTGCTTGCTCCCCGAGGATGCTGCTGTCCGCAGTCCTCTGTCAGTCTCCTCTGCTCGCACATTGGACTTGGGGAGGTTAACCACGTTCTCTGCTAACGATTTAATGCCAGCTTGATTTTACTCAAATGTGTGTAATCCAGAAAGATGGTATAAATTTCTCTCAGGGCAAAAGATGACAAGTCCCAAAGGAATTCAGATTCATGACTAGCCCTGTCCTCGGCTGAGTGAGAATGGACAGGTGGCAGCAAGGAGAGGTGCCAGGGATGTACCACAGGAGCAGAGCCCCAGAGTACGGCCCAAGGAACGGCCCCGCCCCACAGTCACGTCGTCCATTCCATCCCATCCCATCCCATCCCATCCATCCCATCCCATCCCATCCCATCCCATCCCATCCCATTCCACTCAACTCCATTCCATTCCATCCCATCCCATCCCATCCCATCCCATCCCATCCCATCCCATCCCATCCCATTCCATCCCATTCCATCCCATTCCAGCCTTTCCATTCCCAGGCTCTGGAGAGCCAAATGCTAAGAACTGATGGGGCTAGAAGGGGCCAATAACTCTGAGCTATTCCTGTAGGATATCAGGGCTCCTTCCCCTTACTTAGTTCAAGCATCAGGGACACTCAGGGATCCATGGAGGGATGGTCAAGGGGATTTCCCAACAGTAGGGTGAGTCTGGACAGCTCCCAGAGACCACACTGCTCATTTCCAGTGACCCAGCCCATCAGCATCCTGATTGTTTCATTTCCACACACTGAGGAACTGACCGCATGAGTCAAAGGGCTGGTTAGTCACAGGCGTTGCTGTCCATTGCAAGGAATGTGCAGAGCCAGTGACCGATTTAGAAAGTACCTTCCTTCACCCCCCTGGTTTTAAAGTTTTGTGTTTTGTGAGTATCTCATAGTTGCTTATAAGAAAGAAAAGAGAGGACAGGGATTGAGCCCTTCTAAAGGACCCTCCAGAGGAAAAATTTTCACGTCTCGTTTCTGGCTTCTCGTTTCGTGTTCTCTGAAGGGATGCTTGCTGGCCAAGCTGATGGAGTAAGAGGTAAGAATTCAGGTGAGATTGAAGTTAGTTATACCAGGTTGAGATCCTGGTTCCACCAGCAGAGAGACCTTGAATAAGTCACATAACCTCTCTGAGCCCCACTTTCCTCGTCTGTGAAAAGACAGTCCCCCAGCCCCCGCCCATCTGGCAACCATCAGTTTTTTCTCTCTGCATCTATGAGTCTGTTTCTTTTTTGTTTATTCGTTAATTTAGTTTTTTAAGTTATTTATTTAGTTTATTTAGTTTTATGAGGTTTATGGGTAGTGGATATGGAAGTGCTTTGAAAATACTAGATATGGCCCTGGCCGGTTTGCCTCAGCGGTTAGAGCGTCGGCCTGCGGTCCAGAGAGACCCGGGTTCGGTTCCCACTAGGGGTACGTACCTCGGTTGCAGCAGTTTGTAGATGTTTCTCTCTCTCTCTCTCTCTCTTCCTCTCTCTCCCTCCCACTCTATCTGAACAAAAAATGGAAAAATGTCCTCAGGTGAGGATTAAAAAAAAAAAAAAGAAAGAACACACTAGATACGGGTTAATCATCCTTGGGTGTTGGGAACGCACACCTCCTCCCTGACCAACATGGCCACAGTCCGCCCCAGCCACCTTTCGGCGCTCTTTTTGGGGTGGTTTTTTTTTTCCTTTCTTTTTTTTCCCAATTACTTCTCAGTTTATTGTATACATTTATTTTCAATTATAGTTGACATTCAATATTATTAGATTCAAGTGTACAGCATAGTAGTTAGATATTTCTATAACTTACAAAGTCATCCCTCTGATAAACGTAGTAGCCACCTGGCACCACACATAGTTATTACATTATTGATTATGTTCCCTGTGCTGTACTTTATATCTCGTGACTATTTTGTAACAGACAATTTGTACTTCTTGATCCCTTCACCCTTTCAAACAGCCCCCCGGCCCCCCAGCCCCCTCCCATCTGGCAATCATCAGTTTTTTCTCTGCATCTATGAATCTGTTTCTGTTTTGTTCATTTGTTTATTTAGTTTTTTAGATTCCATATATAAGTGAAATCATATGGTATTTGTTTTTCTCCATCTGACCTATTTAACTTAACATAATACCTTTTAGGTCCATCCATGTTGCAAATGGTAAAATTTCGTTCTTTTTTTATGGCTGATTAATATTTCATAGTATATACGTACCTCATCGTCTTTATCCAATTGTCTGTTGATGAACATTTACATACTTTTATATTTTGGCTATTGTAAATATTGCTGCAATAAACATATGAATGAATGCATGTATCTTTTTAATTCGTGTTTTGGATTTCTTTGGATAAATACCCAGAAGTGGAATTGCTAGGTCATCAGGTGGTTCTACTTTTAATTTTTTGAGGAAACTCCATACTGTTTTCCATAGTGGCCGCACCAATTTTCAATCCCACCAACAGTGCCCACGTGTTCCCTTTCTTCCACATCCTCATCAACACTTGTTTATTGATTTATTGATGATAGCCATTCTGACAGGTGTGAGGTGATATCTCATTGTGGTTTTAATTTGCATTTCTCTGACAATTAGTGACATTGAGCATCTTTTCATATGGCTATTGGCCATCTGTATGTCCTCTTTGGAGAAATATCTATTCTCTTTCTGCTCATTTTTTTTTTCTCACCCGAGGACATTTTTCCATTTTTTGTTCAGACAGAGCGGGAGGGAGAGAGTGAGGGAGAGGAAGAGAGAGGGAGAAAGAGAGAGAGAGAGAGAGTGAGAGAGAGAGAGAGAGAGAGAGAGAGAGAAACATCAACGTGAAAGGGACACATTGAGTGGTTGCCACCTGCACAACCCAACCAGGGCCGGGGACAAACTGCAACCGAAGTATGTGCCCTTAGTGGGAACCAAACCTGGGTCTCTCTGGACCGCAGGCCGACGCTCTAACCACTGAGCCAAACTGGCCAGGGCTCTGCTCATTTTTTTAAATTGGGTTTCCTTTGATTTTGGTTTTTGGTGTTGAGTTGTATAAGTGAGTTCTTTGAAAGTTTTGGATGTAAACCTCTTACTGGATGTATCATTGGTGAATATCTTCTTCCATTCAGTAGGTTATCTTTTAGTTTTGTTGATGGTTTCCTTTGTTGTGCATAAACATTTCAGTTTAATGTAGTACCATTTGTTTATTTTTTCTTTTGTTTCCCTTGCATGGAGAGATATATCAGAAAAAATATTGCTAAGCAAAATGTCAGTTTACTGCCTATGTTTTCTTCTGGTAGTTTTAAGATTTCACATCTTACACTTAAGTATTTAATCCATTTTGAGTTTTTTCTTGTATATGGTCTAAAAA